GCAAGTAAAGAGAATCAGATCAGACAATGGAACTGAATTTACATCTAAAGAGTTTCAGACATTGTTAAATAAAAACACGATAAGGCATGAGACATCAGCGCCGTATTCACCTCATCAGAATGGGACTGCCGAGAGACAATGGCGAACACTTTTTGAAATGGCACGGTGTATGTTGATCGAAAGTAACCTGCCAAAGAGATTATGGACTTATGCTGTTATGACTGCCGCAGTAATTCGTAATAGGTGTTACAACAGACGCACAAAGCAAACCCCTTATTACATGCTGACAGGAAAGAAGCCAGACATGTCGAGGATGGGGATTTTTGGATCAGTTTGCTACGGTTACGGGCACAACAAAAAAAAGTTAGACGCGAGATGTGACGAAGGAGTTTTTGTGGGTTACGATAAAAACAGTCCGTCGTATCTAATCTACTACCCTAAAACAGGACGAGTTCTTAGACATAGGTTGGTCAAGTTCCTCACTAAAAGTGTAGTTGAGCACCAAACCCAGACCACTCAGGTTGATGACAATGGAGATGATGATTTGACTCCAGGGGACATCTTGAAGTACCCCGCTAGAAAGGACAAAACAGGGAATGACCAGAGATCAGATGAAAGTATGATCCTGGAACCTGAAAGTGACATTCAGGACAATGGCATAAATGATGCACAAAACTCAGACAAACAGAGTGATAGAACAGAGTCTGAACGATATCCCAAACAAAACAGGAGAAGGCCAGATTACCTGAAAGACTATGTCCAAACTGCAGAAGACGACCAAACATCGCTGACTGTAGATTACTGTTACAGGATGATGTATGACATACCAAAGACTTTTGAAGAAGCTATGCAGTCATCGAACTCTAAGTGTTGGTCAGATGCTATGGAAGATGAAATGAGATCCTTGCAAGACAATAACACGTTTACTTTAACCACGCTGCCAGAAGGTAAAAATGCAGTGGGGGGGGAGATGGGTGTATGTGATAAAAGAGAACCCAAATCAGACTAAAACATTTAAAGCAAGATATGTTGCTAAAGGCTATAGCCAAGTTCAAGGCATTGATTACAAAGAAACCTTTTCGCCGACTGCAGATATGACGTCAGTGCGTACGCTGATGCAATTAGCAGTACAGCACAACTTTAAACTCCATCAAATGGACGTGAAGACTGCTTATTTGCACGCCCCAATCGATTGTGAGGTGTATATGCAGCAACCAGAAGGTTTTGAAGTAAAATCAGACACAGGGGAAAAACTGGTCTGTAAACTAAACAAATCACTATATGGTTTGAAACAATCTGGCAGGAACTGGAATAAGATGTTACATGACCATTTATGTGCAAAAGGTTACAAACAAAATCCTGTAGACCATTGTGTATATTCCAGACAGACAGCGAGTGAGACAGTGATTCTTATCATCTGGGTTGATGATGTAATCATAGCTGCCAACGATGAAGACGCTATCAGAAACGTGAAACAAATGTTGGATGAGAAATTTAAAATGAAGGATCTTGGTGAGCTCAAACATTTCTTGGGTATTGACTGTATACAACAGAACCATGAGATAAGACTAAATCAGACACGGTACATCACAAAAATCCTGGAAAAGTTCAAAATGTCTGACTGTAAGCCACGTTCTACTCCTTGTGAACTCAAAAATGACTTTGGTGCACATGGTGAATCAGTTGATTCAGGAAAATATAGAGAATTAGTGGGCAGTTTGATTTACTTAATGACATGTACAAGACCAGATTTGAGTTGGATAGTGAGCAAACTGTCACAATCCCTGTCTGAGCCAAAAGAGCATCATTGGACAGCAGCAAAACATGTATTACGTTACCTTAAGGGGACACTAAACAAAGAGCTGTGCTATAAAAGGATAGAAGGAAACCTAAATCTTATAGCATACAGCGATGCAGATTGGGCCACAGACTTGAGTGACAGGAGAAGTACAACGGGTTATTGTTTTGTACTATCCAAAAATGGGCCAGTGATCTGCTGGAAAACCAGGAAGCAAGCTACAGTAGCTTTGTCAACGTGCGAGGCAGAGTACATGGCGATGGCCGCCATAGTACAAGAAAGCTTATACCTCTCACAGCTACTTAATGGCATGGACATTAAAAGGCAATATTCACCAGTTACCATTCTTGCAGACAATCAAGGTGCAATTGCATTGTCCAAAAATCCTATAAACCGTCAAAGATGTAAACACATCGATATCAAGTATCACTTTATTAGGTCTGCTATAACTGAGAAGGAAGTACAAGTTAAATATTGTGCAACAGAAGACATGGTAGCAGACATCATGACTAAGGCTGTAAGTAAAGTGAAAATAGATTTACGCATATTTTGTTTGGAACATAAAATGTTGATATGTGAATATCATGTAAATATGTATATCATGTAAATGTGTAATGTATAGTGTTAAGAGCAAGTGGGGGTGTTGCCCTGTCATATATGTATGTGCTCTTAACCTGAAAGGTATAAATACGGAAGTGTGTGTGCAATAAATGCTGACGCAGAGGAAGGTGTGTCCCTCTGATGTAAAACTCTAAACAACGTGTGTATGGTTTATTCCTCCGTGAGATATGCGAGTTACCCCGGTATTTCTGCCCTAGAAAATGGAACCTCCAACATGTATGCTAAAGCATTATGAAGAAAGCTTTGTAAAGAAGACTGTCATTTCCAAAACACTGCCCGCCCCCACCCCGCGGTCCGCAGCGCTGTTGAAAAGGCTGTGGAAGTCCCTGTATTAAACACGTAGACCTGTGACATAAAAATCACCAAACTCGGACGACCACAGACTGTTTTCCTTCGTGGTGATGAAGGAAAACGCTGGGTTGGCATGTAAAAGGGCATTTATTCCCTTCAAAGACCTGCAGTTCAAAAAAAAGCGCCCCTCGACAGCCAAACCCATCTGTTCTCTGATTGGATTGTTACATTTGTGATTGACATGTCATTGACCAATCAGATGAAGGAAAGAAAAATAGGGTCAAAAATCCGTACTTGTAACTTGCAGGGTTTTTTTTCTAAGTCCACACACAAATCTTTTTTACACACATACAAATCTTTTTTACGCACATACAAATCTTTTTTACACACACACAAATCTTTTTTACACATACAAATCTTTTTTACAAGTACAAAATATTTATGACCACATTTTGAGCCCATAGTGGCACTCAAAAATCCCATAATGGCGTCCCTCCTCACGTCCCCCCCCCCCCCCCCCCCCCCCCCCCAAAAAAAAAAAAACCCCACAGAAGTAAACTAACCCATAGCTTATAAAATCCTCTTAATCTACATCACCCGGAATGTTAGCCGAATCCAGGCCGCTTAGAAATTGCTTAGCCTCTGCTGGGTTGGAAAACTGATGATACTGGTTATCCACTGAAAAAGTCATAACAGCCGGAAAGCAAAGGGAATAGCCAATATTGCACACAAGCGACGCACCTCATCAAACTTCCGGCGTTTTTCTTGTACCTCCTGTGCATAATCCTGGAAAAAACGAACTCTCATGCCTTTCCAAATGATCTGCTTCTTTTTTCTGGCACCCGCCAGTACGGACATCTTGGCTTTATCCGGTAGGAAGCGAACGATGATGTGTCTCGGTCTGGAGTCCGCAGCTGGCTTCGGAGGTGCTGGCCCCACCCGATGGATTCTGTCTATTTCGTAGTAATCTCCCATCTCAATGTCCAGAGCCTCAGACAACAGATTCTTCACTCAATCCGCAAGATTACGGCCTTCGGTTCCTTCTCTTTATCAATATCAAAATTACAGGTAAGGAAAAATTCAATGCCACCTAACTTAAACATGAACACAGGTATAGTATTCCAAATGGAAGTAGGATTATTCATTAGATTTTTTAACCAATTTATTTTGAATGTGTTATTTAGAGTTTTAAAATCTAACACATTAAGTCCTCCATTGACATATGTGTTCATAAGAACTGTTTCTTTAATGCAGTGTGTCCTATTTTTCCAGGTAAAGTTGAAAAGTAACTTATCAACCTCTTTTATGAGTTTATTATCAAGGTGCAATGCCAATGCAGCGTGTGTAAGACAAGAGATACCTTCACGTCTCAGCTGTTTGTGGAGGTAAAATACGTCTGCACAATTACGCTCAGCCATCGTTGTGAGTGCGCACGCCAAGGGGCGGCGAGACATTTATACAGCCGTATACTCAATACTTGAAATGTGCAATTCACTTGTATTTTTATTTTTTATTCCTATTTATTCTATTTATCCCTTTGTATATTTTATTTATATTTGTCTCTGTATTTATATATGTGTGTGTGTATATATATATATATATATATATATATATATATATATATATATATATATATATATATAACAGTTCTGTAACTGTAACTTCGGTCGTTGCTGTGTTTTTTTTGGAAGTCGAATTTCCCAGAGGAACCCACCCGAGGGATTAATAAAGTTCTATCTTATCTTATCTTATCGTATATCGCACATGACTATGAAAGGCGGAAGAGGAAGTAGTTCCTTTGAATGTAGACAATCCGAATGTTATAGTTTCCTTCCACTGTGTTCCTGTTAATAATAAACTACTAATTTACTCTAAATTACTAAAATATCGATATTGTAATGTGAGAATCGATTCTAGAACATAAATGATTGGTATCGGAGGAATCGATATTTCAGGATCGATCCGCATATCACTACTCCGTAACGAAGGCACCCGGCTCTGCTCTAGTTACAGGAAATGTTTGAATATTTAGTTACTGAAATATGGTAACTGAAAAGCGAAGGCAAAGAGGGTCAGTTTGTCTAACAGTGTAACAGCAAACCAGCAAGCTTCATGGTATATAAAATTCAACGTCTCTTAAATTCTAATCTGAAAATCATTCTCGGTGCACTCAAACTAATCCTCACTGTTCCGTCACGCTACCGGACACGCGGGTTTTTCACCGCCAACGTATGAAAAACGTGAACGTATGATGACATGAAAGTAAGCATATAAACATATGCTGACTTACCACGCAGCACACAGATCCAAACACACACGCGTCTGCGCCTTGAAATATCAAGTCCAGAAGAAGCAGGAGTACTTCCGGTATACGAAATTGACGCTTTCAAAATAATAAAAAATGACTCCTTAGACTAGACCAACAATATTTGTGTTTACATTATGGCAGCACACGACAAAGGTGACATTTGCAAATGGGAACATGTTGATAAAAAATCTGGTCTATACGATTGTTAGCCTATTTTAATTATCGTTAGCTTCATAGCATAAGTGCCTAAGTCATTGACTTAGTCAAATGACTTAGGCAATTATGCTATGAAGCTAACGTTATATTATGTTATTATTTATTTAAGGCACAAACTGGAGTGGTGCTTTTTTGAATTTATTCCAAGTCTGTTAATACAGATTTGTTTTTATTATGAAATCAAACGTGGCTGATTTCCTTTTATATTGTGGCTTACTTACTGCAGCCCATGAGGGCTCAGTTCAAATAATCTACACCTGTACAGGGCAATTTTAAGACTCTGCTAGCTCTCTGTGCCAAACCGACCATGCTGAATGGAAGACTGCATATTTTTTAAATTTTGTCTCTATATAATCTTTTATAAATTATATGCCCAAATGTACAGGTTATCTTTTAAGGTTCTAAGGCATTCTGTAACCCTGCAGATAGTTTACAGTCACCCTAATACATGCAGACATGCAAACAGATAATGGAAGTTCAAAATTAGTAAAATTGCATAAACATGTTGAATTAAAATTCAGTCCAAAGACATGGGACTGTAGGGGGGAGCTGGAGTACCCGGACAGAACCCACGCAGCACGGGGAGAACATGAAAACACCACACAGAAAGGTCCCAGCCAGGTGGTGAAATCAAACTCAGGACTTTCTTGCTCTGAGGCAACAGTGCCACCATCCCAACTAAAGCCATTTTTTTAAACCAATATCTGTACTTCTAGTATTTACATTTTAAAAATGGACTCATTATTTTTGCTTTAATGGATTTGGGTCGAGTTATTATTTCCTCACTTTGAGGCTTTAAACATCAAAACAATTCGAGCCTAAACAATAACACATGAAAGGAAATTCTGTTCCTTTATTAATCATGTTGCATAAAAAGAGACGACGTGTGCCAAAGTCACGGGTTAAAGGTGGGGATGTGGGGGTTTTTGTTGTTGTTTTTGCCATAACACCGGAGTGAAGTTGCCCCCCACCCAACTGTTTCAAATCAAACAAAATTTGTCTCAGTCAATTGTGCTACGCTTGTGCTGCAAATGTTTTTGTTAGTGCCGCAATCATTTTAAAGATATTATTTAAAGTTTTTAGAGGTCATCCAAGGTCAACAAGCCCCTTTGTGAAAAGGTTGTGATGATTGACCTTTTGACCTTTAAATTTCCAATAATAAATTCTTTAAAACAAAAGCAGCACAAATGAAAATTTTAGCAGCTCAAATGTAGCACAAATGCATGACATCAATTTTGTTTGATTTGAGTATTGTTGGGGCCCTGGTTGACCTTGGATGACCTCTAGAAACTTTTATTAGTATCTTTAAAATGATAGTGGCACAAACCAGCACAAATGTTTGACACTAGAAAAGGTGGAGGGCTAACTTCACTCATGTCCCTGGAACAACTGCAGGTGTCTGTAAGTTGCAGTGTTTCAGCATCTAGCTAGCCCTACTGAAGAGAAGGGAGTATAAAACTGGTGTCAAGCCAGCCCCAACTTAGTTTTGAGTATGTATATTAGTGTATATTAAGTTTTACGGTAAGAGATGTGGAGACCTGATTTCAAAACAAAAGCCAACTTTGTTTGAATTCAGCTTCAACATTAACACATTCAGTCCATAATAACAAATATTAATTAGTGTTGTTTTCACACTTTAATGCTGGATCCACAGGATACACCCAGTACTCTAGTAGTACCTTAGCCAATATCAAGGCAGTCCTTTTTTGGATTTCAAAGTAAAAGCCCTCTGAACTTTCCTTTCTGAGCTACTCTTTCGAGAATTTCAGAATGCTGTAAAAAGGAAAATTCTAATTTCACTCTAGAACAACAGCGTACACCCTCACAGGGCTACCATGTCCGTGTCAAGTAAGTCTGGTTGTGCATTTCAAAGTAAGAGCCCTTTGAATTTGCCTGTATATGCACAACTTCTCAAATGAATTGAGGACACTGTTAAAAGGTAAATTGCTGTTTCCACAGGCTAATTGCAGTATATGTTGACACTATAGACCCTCCCGGTGGCATTTCAGAGTAAAACCCCTTTGAATTTGCTTGGATATGAGCTTTTTTTTTTAATTAAGGGTGCTGTTAAAAGAAAAATTACTGTTTCTACAGTACGTTGAGTTCATGTCAACCATACAAGTCCTTACAGTGGTACCATGTCAATCTGAAGTCAGTCTGATTTTGCATTTCAGAGTAAATGCTCTTTGACTTTGTCTGTGTGACCTTACTTTTCAGTGACTTCAGAATGCTGTTAAAAGGAAAATCCCTGTTCTTATGGAATAATTCCACTTTAAATCCATAACATACTGCCTCAAAGCTGCACACTGTCAAAATCAAGTCTTTCTGGTCTTGGATTTAAAAATAATTCCCTTTGTAAATGTTTTTATATGCAGTTTGGTTTCTTTATTCAGAATGATATTACTATGAATTATAAGATACTAGCAATTTCAACTTGATTTTACTTCACCTTTTATGATTTGATTCAGTCATAATCAAATGATTCTGATTTTGTATTTCAAAATGAAAACCTTCTGATATATTTAATATCAAAAGCACTCAGGTCATGTGACAGGGAAGAACTGATGAGTATCAAACATATTTAAGGGTAAAGGTACTGAAATTTAACAACTGATACAACAGAAGACTGGAGCTCAATTGGCAGTTAAAAAGCATGAAGGATGTGTGGAAAGGAATGAAGATAATTACTGTGACTAAGGTGAGAGGCAGTCAGTCAGCAGCCTGAAGAGAGAGAAATGAGGTGAACAATTTTTTCAGCTGGTTCAGTTTGCAACTCTACTGGCTCTTCCACCCCACACTCTGGCCTCCAAACATCACTAATGTCTTTGATTATTCCCTGAGTAAACTTTGTGGCTTTAAACCTGCAAGGAAGGCTACAGGTTATGGTGGTATCAACCACAGGGCTCTGCTGACTCACCTACAGTTTCTTGCAAAAGTATTGGGCCCCCTTGAACTTTTCCACATTTTGTCACATTACAGCCACAAACATGAATCAATTTTATTGGAATTCCACGTGAAAGACCAACACAAAGTGGTGTACACGTGAGAAGTGGAACGAAAATCATACATGATTCCAAAACGTTTTTACAAATAAATAACTGAAAAGTGGGGTGTGCGTAATTATTCAGCCCCCTGAGTCAATACTTTGTAGAAACACCTTTTGCTGCAATTACAGCTGCCAGTGTTTTAGGGTCTGTCTCTACCAGCTTTGCACATCTACAGACTGAAATCCTTGCCCATTCTTCTTTGCAAAACAGCTCCAGCTCAGTCAGATTAGATGGACAGCGTTTGTGAACAGCAGTTTTCAGATCTTGCCACAGATTCTCGATTGGATTTAGACACCAGACAGGTCAGGGATAAAGTTATTGAGAATTTTAAAGCAGGCTTAGGCTACAAAAAGATTTCCCAAGCCTTGAACATCCCACGGAGCACTGTTCAAGCAATCATTCAGAAATGGAAGGAGTATGGCACAACTGTAAACCTATCAAGACAAGGCCGTCCACCTAAACTCACAGGCCGAACAAGGACAGCGCTGATCAGAAATGCAGCCAAGAGGCCCATGGTGACTCTGGACGAGCTGCAGAGATCTACAGCTCAGGTGGGGGAATCTGTCCATAGGACAACTATTAGTCGTGCACTGCACAAAGTTGGCCTTTATGGAAGAGTGGCAAGAAGAAAGCCATTGTTAACAGAAAACCATAAGAAGTCCCATTTGCAGTTTGCCACAAGCCATGTGGGGGACACAGCAACCATGTGGAAGAAGGTGCTCTGGTCTTTTTGGCCAAAATGCAAAACGCTATGTGTGGCAGAAAACTAACACTGCACATCACTCTGAACACACCCCCACTGTCAAATATGGTGGTGGCAGCATCATGCTCTGGGGGGGCTTCTCTTCAGCAGGGACAGGGAAGCTGGTCAGAGTTGATGGGAAGATGGATGGAGCCAAATACAGGGCAATCTTGGAAGAAAACCTCTTGGAGTCTGCAAAAGACTTGAGACTGGGGCGGAGCTTCACCTTCCAGCAGGACAACGACCCTAAACACAAAGCCAGGGCAACAATGGAGTGGTTTAAAACAAAACACATCCATGTGTTAGAACAGCCCAGTCAAAGTCCAGATCTAAATCCAATCGAGAATCTGTGGCAAGATCTGAAAACTGCTGTTCGCAAACACTGTCCATCTAATCTGACTGAGCTGGAGCTGTTTTGCAAAGAAGAATGGGCAAAGATTTCAGTCTCTAGATGTGCAAAGCTGGTAGAGACATACGCTAAAAGACTGGCAGCTGTAATTGCAGCAAAAGGTGTTTCTACAAAGTATTGACTCAGGGGGCTGAATAATTACGCACACCCCACTTTTCAGTTATTTATTTGTAAAAACGTTTTGGAATCATGTATGATTTTCGTTCCACTTCTCACGTGTACACCACTTTGTGTTGGTCTTTCACGTGGAATTCCAATAAAATTGATTCATGTTTGTGGCTGTAATGTGACAAAATGTGGAAAAGTTCAAGGGGCCCAATACTTTTGCAAGCCACTGTAGTTGTCTGTCATCTTGAGTAACATTTACAACCTGTTTCTGAAGCAGGAGAAGACACTGCTGTTATGGAACATATTTTGTCTGGTTCCTGTATTGATGAAGTCAACACCATCAGTGTTTAAGAACTATCAACCAACTGCCATCATGTGTGATAAAGGACGATAAAGGACAGGATGAGAGCATGGTGTCTATCTGGGTGTCCATGCTGAAAACTGGATGAACTGGAAGACCAACACAGTAACAATATACAAAAATAGGAAAATGATTTTCATTGCT